GGGCAGACACCGTGAGTTGAGGTTGTATTGTGTATGAGAAAGCCATGCAAGGCTGTGGCACAAGCATGGATCCTTATCCATAGCCAGGAGAGAGCCTTTGTGTGCATGTGGTGAGTGGGATGGGAAGCAGAGAGCGTTTTGTGCCTCAGCACTGGAGCGACAGGCACTGAGTAAGCAGGGCCAGCACATCTCTCTGATTGTGCCTCCCCACTGAGTTCCTCTTGGGGAGGTGGAAATCTGCTGCTTCATGCAGAGAAAAGTTATGTAGACAAGCTGTGTTTTGGTGCCTGGTTTTGTGCAAAACATGGAAATCCTTTCCTGCCTGGTCTCTTTTCATTCTCTTTGCTGTCAGTCATTGCCTATGTCATCAGTGTCTGTGGAAAAGACTGCACAGTCAGGGCACCAACCTACTGCAGCCTCCAGTGTGTGAAAAGCCGCATTAGCTTGAAGATTTTCACATGAGAACTGCTCATGATTGATGGGAAATAGTGTACAGTCATTAAAACCAGAAATGTGTGTCTGGAGCCCCCTCACTGGTGTCCGGGATTAAAGAGACCGTAACAAACTGCATTACTGGTGCACATGTGAGCAAGCATTGGGGTTTGTGCTGGGTGCCTTGTTTCTGCAGCACTGTTCAACTCTCTTCAGCAGCCAGGGAGGAGAGAATTTGTGCAACATGCTTAGGGAAGGTTCATCCAGCCTGGTGCAGTACCCAGAATGCTCTTATTTGCATCCCTCTGAGCTAGGATGCAGATGACAAGGTGCAAACTCTACAGAGCCAGGTGTAATGCAGGTTTTTCTACGGGATTTCAGTGTGCTGCTGTCAGTGCTGCACTCCAAACAGCTGGCTTTGTTGCAATGCAAGCTGCTGTCACGTTAGCTGGTGTCAGATGCCAGCCATTTACAGTATACGCCATCACAGCATGACTTAAGTTGGCAACACAGAGTCAATCACATGCCAGCAGCCTACTGTAAGGGTGGGGGAGTGTGCGGGAAGGAATGGGGAGAAGATACTCTTATAAAATCTTTTAATGATTTATTTTTAATATCCATTTTTCAAGCCTATGAAAGTGCAGTCCATATGCTTTTCCCTCATGGCTGTAGTTGGCAGAGAATCAGATGAATATGGTCCTTCAGACTCCTTCCATTTTGTGAGGAGCCAGAAAATACAGCTATATTTAGCATGTTACCAAGGCCAGCAGCAGTCTGTTACTGGGTGGTGATTCCCTGGCTGCAGGCTTGTGTGCCACCCGGGACAGGGTGGGAATGCGCCTGTCCTGGAGTCAGTGCTCAGGCTAAATTGACAGCAGCAAATCTCAAATTTCTGGTGCCAGCAGGCTCAATGTGCTGCTTACCAGCACAGATCAGTCTCTGAGCACTAGGCCCCTACCAGCACATGCAATGGCCACTCCAGGTGCTGTAATGGTGCTTTTTGGTGCAACACTCAGCTTGGAGAATGTCTCAGTTGGTCTTCAGTGCGCAGCCCTGGAACTGTCCCGTACCCTATGCTGAGCTTTCAATATGCTGGAGCCACAGCTAGTCCCTGCAGGAAAACTGTGCCTCGTAGCATAAATATGCTCATCTAAAACTGGGGGCCTAACTCCTCTTGTATTTCTCATGTTGTATTCTTAGGCCACCCAGGTATAAAATGGAGTTGTCCTGATTTATCCCCAGCCCAGTATCCACACAGCAGATTTGCTACCAGTTCCCTGTTGCTTTCCCTGCTGTGTTGCAGCTGGTACTGAGGAGTTAAAAATGGCAGTTCCTTTGTCCTTCTGGCAGCTTTTGTAGAGCTGAAAAATTGGTTTAGAAGAACTGTGTTTGTTCCTGGGAAGTACCAGGAGCTGTGGGTATTGTGATGGAAGGGTAGAAGGGCTCACCCCTTCCAGTGTTGGAGTTCAGGGGGTACTACTGGTGCCCATGACTATAGAGCGAGACAGCTTGAAAGTTGTTACATAGTAAGATGTCTAAACTGGGAACATTTTGTGTCACTCTGTCACATCACCAGTTCCTAAAATTCATTGTCTGAGAGATGAAGAACTTACTGTAGTGCTGGAGAGAGGGCAGCTCAACTCAGCCGTGGCTTCCAATGTGCCTCAGTGAAACAAAGTGGTTGGTGGTGCTCAGGATCAAAATGTTGGCAAGGAGGAGTTAGACCAAAGGCATGGGTTTGAATCTGAGTGTAGCAGTGATTCATTTAGTCTTTCTGAGCCCTCAAAGGCCTGTCTGACAGCATTTTACAGCCTTTGCTCTGCAGCAGCGTTTGCACAGCTCTGTTTCTTACAAATACATGTCCTTGAAACCAGTAGCACTGTGTGGGCACTGGTTTCAGCTTACAGGCTCTGTCTGCAAGACCAACGCCTTGTGCTGTATGGTGGTTTTTTTATTGGTAGTAAAAATATTCTGTTTGTAGAACCCCCTGTTGGAATTAAACAAACTGCTTTGAGAAAGAAAAAAGTAGAACAAAGCTTCACACCAAGCTGGGGTTGCTGGTATCAATGATATTCACAATTTCAGTTGAAACAGCAAAGTCCTTCTCAAGTTGAAGTCAACTGTGTAAGTATTGTTTACAAAAAACAGTAGTTCTTTTTTTTCAATCTTCTCCATTCCTGCAGTGTAGAAACATCTACACAGATTTATTCCAAATTTGGTAGAAATAAGTGTTTCCCTAACCCAAAGCACTTGTGCCAAGTTACAGTCAGGAGGAATTTCTAAGGCTGATGTGTAAGCCCGTGGGAGGTTGGAGCTTAGAATCGAGCAGCTGCCCGGCCACATACAGCCTGTGGTTCAGTGGGGTCTGCTCCTGGTCAGCAGCAGCTCTGCAGGAGCTGTGGAGGTGGGACACTGCAGGTGTGCTCTGAGGCTGAACCCTGGACTCTTGCTGGGTCCCAGATGATGGGATAGTCTGTCGAGAGGCCTGGTCCTGTGCAGCATGAGAAGAATGACCCAAATCTGCCCAGTGCTGATGAGTGTTGTCCTTGCAGATTAATGCAGTTATTTCCTTTGTAGTGGCACAGTCTGAGCACCAGCCAGCTGCCATTTTACCCTCACTTCACACAGATGTGAAAAAGTGTCTGGGGATGAAGATTTGTGTCCTCAGGGGCTGTGAGCAATTAACTCGATGCTGGTGATCTGGGGCTGCTGGATTACTGAGAAGCCAAAACAATAGCATGAAAAAGCCTCTTTTGTTTTTAGTTGGGTTGCTGGGAGCCACTGGGCTCTTCTAGGAGCAGGCCAGAGAGTTTCGTTCCATCAAGCCAGGCTGCTAAAGTTTGGAAGTGTTTTTTTTCCTGTCCCACTGTCTCAAGCCCATGACTTCTTGCATTTAATTATTTGCCTTTTGTTTAATTCTGATCTCCTCAGAGCAGGTAGGAGAGGAGCCTTTTCCCATGACAAATGTCAAATATTTAAGCAGCAGTCAAGCTCTTCAACCCTCTCCCCAGTGGTGCTGTTATTCCCACCAGGAAGTGGGGCAGAGTAAAGCTTGGAAATCTAAGGCTGCCCTACAGCGACCTGGCATGCTGGGGAGCCTGGCTGGGGATTCAAAACCAGCTCCTGCAGTGGGTGACAGCATTGACTTTTTGCAGTGGTTCTTGGACTGTCCAGTGATTTCACCTGTATGTTTGCAAAAGCCTTAAAGAATAACTCCCAGGGGAGTATCCTGGATGCATCAGAGGCTGATCCCAGGAGGTTCCCACCTGAGCCTTGGGTGAGTGGTGTGTAACAGCTGTATCCTTGTGGACCTGGTTATGGGGTTACAGCTCTGCTGCACATAATCCTGCTAACAGGGACAGGTACATGGGGTTATCTGGTGTGCCCCTTTTGGAAGGCAAATGTAATTACAGTGAGACTGAGAACTCTGTGTACAGCCCTTGACGACTGTGCCTGGGACAGGCTTGGTAATGGATGGTCTTGTGCCTTTGCTGGCTGCAGGAACTGTTATTAATTATCTGTCGTGGAACAGCTCTGTGGCCTCCATGTCTGGCCTTATTTTAATAGGCTTTGATTAGCTAAAAAGAATTTGTTCCTCAAAAAGTAACCATTTTTGCATAAAGTTACATTAAGTGTTTTATGTTTTCTGTGTGCCTCTTGTTTCTTGAGGAAGAAATTAAATAAGAAAGGGGGGAGAGAAAAAGCTTAATTTTCAAGAACTATTTCATCTTAATGACAACATTTGTTACTAGCTTTCTTATTTAGTGATCTATTGATATTTATCTTCTTATGTCTACTTGCAAACACTATGAAAGTAAGGCACAGTTTATACATGTTTTTTAAGTGATGATCTCAGTTGATTTGCAGGGATAACATCAGTGATCTCCTGCTTTTTAGGAGCCACTGGCATGGCCAGTGCTTACGTTTATTGCATGGGGGAAGGAGTCAGTGATGCAACACACATCACTTTTGACAAATGAAAGCATGAAGGGGGGAAAACGGTTTCAGTTCTTCCTCCTGTGACTGCTAGTTCTCAGCATCTTGGGGTACCTGCATGTTGTGGAACAGAGGTGCTGCCTTACAGAGCTGTCCTCTTAAAGTTTTACCCAGTGCAGCTGGGGAAATGGTGGAGACAGTTTTGTTTCTTGCTGTCTGGTTATCAGGGCAAATTAAGTGGTCTGGTGTTGGGAAGGAGGGGAAAAGCAACCCACGCAAGGAGCACAGGGAATTCTGGTTGTTGTTTCTGGAATTGTTGCCACCAGCTTCTGAAAGTATTGGTGTTTGTGTTAGATTGTTTGGGTTTTTTTCTTACAACAATCATTTTAACATCAGGAAGCCTGACTTTTTGGTTTAGCTTGATAGTATTCAGTTAGTGTTACTGCAGGAGAAGTCATGTTGCTCTTCTCTTCACCTGCTATAGAAAAATCACAAAAGAGGCACAGTAGCTACCAAGCTGCCTCCGCCTCGATGATTGTGTTGTTCCAGTAACCCAAACAATCCCTAATTAAATTTCTCTGGCTGCCCTGGGTGTTACATTCACTGAAATGCTGTTCCATTATGTTTTTTAGGGCCGGTGTACCCGAGAGAACTGCAAATATCTCCACCCTCCCCCACATTTAAAAACACAACTTGAAATAAATGGACGCAACAACCTGATCCAGCAGAAGACGGCCGCAGCCATGTTTGCTCAGCAGATGCAGTTCATGCTACCGGGCGCGCAGCTACAGCCAATTGTGAGTTATAGCCACGGACCCATTGGCTTCACACTGCTCCCTGTCCCTCCCCTGTTTGCTCACAGAGGCCCCAGCCCTGTGCCTGAGCTCAGGCCATTGTATGTGCTGCGCAGAACTGGGCAGAGTCCTTCCAGAGGGGTCGGATGCTACCTTTGCATCTCCTTGCAAGCTGTGTCTCTTTTCCTCTGATAACCGAGGAGCTGCGAGATTCAGGGCTTCAAGTGGAAGGGTCTTTGCACCAGCTGCTTTTTTGACCAGTTGGTTGACATACATCCCAGAAGTTTTGAGTGGCTCAATTCCAGTGGATCCTGTTTTGGATAGCTGTTTTCCACTGAGATGATGCTGACTCCCTTGGACTAGATGTGTTGCACTGTTGGACTAAAACTAGGGCAGATGAATCCTACCTAGACTTTAATCCTTTTTCATGTCTATGAGTGAGACCCATTTCACTGCAGCTGTCCCAGCAGAGACTTGTACTAATGTCACAGCCCTGTCACTTGTTTTTCACAGTAATGCTGATTTAGAGTAAGAGCAGGAAGATTTGCTTCTCTTCAGGTAGGAAGGGAAGCCTGTGGGAGATAGGTGTTTGTGGAGCAGGTAGTTCAGAGAAGCCTTCACTGCCTGTCCCTGCTTTTGCTTGTCAGTTAAAACAGGTTTCAGGCTGGAGAACCCTGTTATGCCAGGGAAAGGATGGCTTGTGTCTGCTGGTTGGTGTATCTGGGAGGGGATGACGTTTGTCAGCTGAGTTTTAGTCTGTCACAATGTATATTTCAGTAACTGTCAGAGGTCTTGAAGCAGCTCTTCAGTGCTGATGTGAATAAGCTGCACTGAGAGTTAATTAGGAGTTCTCAGTTTAAAGTTGGGCTGAGTATCTTTCCTGGGTCAATGTGCACTTAGTGTGCTGTAGTTGGGTGAGGCTTCTTGTGCTGTGCTACACATGAGGACTGGCCAGGTCCTTCGGACAAGCTCTTCTAGCCTGAAGGTGTCAAGTCTGTGAACCAGCCTGAACTTGGTCTCCTGGTGTCCCACCTGCACTGCCTGACCTCTCTATCCATGTGGGACACAGCATCTGTCACCCCAGCTTTGAAAAGCTCAGGTGTTCCTGGTTTATTCTCACCAGAGAACAGTGAAGGTTGTTGTGTTGTTTGGTATAAGAGCTTGTGATGGAGGTTTCTCTGTTTCAGCAGGGAAAACTGGCCAGTGTCCCTTCATGATGTTGGTCTGCCACCAGCCTGGGCCATTTCCTCAGTCTGGCATATCCGCCTGTGTTTTGGGGGCTTTTCCATGTTTGCCATCACTCTGATTATCCTGTGTGTCTGCTAGTAGCTTTGTCTTGGCCCTGCCCTGTAAGTTAGGAAAATGCTGTCTATTCTTTCCATTTTGAAGATGGAAAGGTGAGACAGAAGATTGTCCACAGAAAAGGTCCTTAGTTGTGCTGTGCCTTAGGCTCTTAATTGCTATAATCTTGCACCTCTTTTTTGTGGAGTTTGAAAGTATTGTCCACATCAGAAGGAAATCCTGAATTCTCACAAGACAGTGGCATTGCTTTCCAAGTCCTGTACCAAAAACAAACCCTTCCTATTTGAAGTTTACCTCTGTAGGGAGTTCATGATGGATGCTCTTTGGCTGGCTATTCAAAGTATCTTTGGGATTTCCTCTTTGGAAAGTTCCCATCTTTCCACTTTGCAATCTTTTAGGTCCAGTGTGCTCCTAAATTTTACTCCTGCCTTTCAAATTGCCTCTCAAACTGAATGTGTCTGTTTGTCTGGTTAGTGCTGTCATTTCAGAGGTAGCTTTATCTGATGAGAAGGGCCCCTGGTTTCTAAATTGTGCCATGAGGAAGACATGGGCAAAGAAGAAAAATAAAAATTCGTTCTGTAGTGACTGCTCCCTTCATGCTTTCCCACACTTTACTCAGACTAAACAAGCTCTTGGTCTGATTCCTGCTGCCCAACTTGCTCCACACCAATTTCAGGACAAACAAGAGATTTCTCTTTCAACTGCCTTTGATTTCCCAAAGATGCTGTCAGTGGAAGCTAGCTTTGAGAACTTTTTTCTCTCTAAATGAGAAGGGTGGGGCCTCCTTCTGGGTACACATGAAATCTGTCAAAGTAGAAAGTATTGTATCTGATGCAGCAGCAGAACAAATCCCATGTGATCAGAAAGCTGATCAACAGGATGCCTGCTTAATTGGAATGCTTGCCAGAGATGAGATTTGAAATAGCACACTTAATAGCTCCAAACAATGGCTGAATGTTTAGACGTTTTAAAGTGCAGTTTCACGAGAAAAGTTACCTAATTAAAAAAAACCCACCACCAAAAAAAACCCCACCAAATTAAAACCAAATCCGTTTTTTTAACGTAGCAGCTTTTCACCAGGCTTCCTGAAATGTCATCTGTCTATGAGCTGGGCTCTGGCATTGATAGGCAGAGCTACTTTGGTAAATGTTATGTCTGGTTTCTTGGATATGGTTGCTTTGTGTCCTGTGTGTGCCAGTGCAAGACCACCCAAAAAGTGCTGCCCTCTCCCCACCCTCTCCATCCTGCTTTATCCCTTTGCAGCAGTGTGGGACAGACTTTGGAGCTGACCATGGAGGTGCTTCAGGCCAGGATCCAAGTGACATGGTGGAGCAGGGCACTGGTTTGCCTGGTGCTTCCCCACTAGTGCCTGAACAAGCCGTTCGTTGATGGAGCATGGCAGGGGTGACACACTTGCCACAACTCCTGCCCTGCAGCTGCCTCTGCTGCTGCCTAGGGAAGCTGTTTCCTCCCTTTGTTTTCAAGCTCTTCATCTTTTCTTTGTGTCAAGGTCTTTGTAGACAGGACTATCTTAATAGTTCTGAATCACCCATGCCCTTGAAGACAGCCCAGACTTTAAGGCAGCCCTTTGTCCCCGTCTGTGGCAGAGGATCCTGCTACCACTCCTTGGTGCTGATGGAGGGGTTAAAGCAGAGGGTGAGCAACTTTCTTGCCCAGTGATGCTTGAAGCAAGTGCTGGTGCCGATTTCAACAGGTGCTTTGCACAAGCATTTGTTCCATGCAGCAAAAACCTGATTTATATCTCAGCCTCTAGTCAAAGGCATGCTAGGAATGAATAAACACACTACCCAGGCCCAGCCAAGAGCTGGTATCTGCCAAGAGACAATGCTGTGGGGTGTTAACACCTGTCTTTTACACTACAGCAACCCACAAATGAGAGATCCTATGATCGAGGAGTGTGTCCTTGCAGTCTGATTACAGAAATAAGCATCTGTGGTGGTAGGTAGATGGATGCTTTGACCCATTGGATTCACTCCAGCATGCTCAGCCTTCATGTTGGAGGGTGGTTTTGCAGCTAGCCAGCCCAATGAAGTTGGAGGGGAACACAGATTTTTGGGTTTTTTGACAGCATCAATTACATTTTTAATATCAAGGTTTTCAATCTTGTCAGTACGTGATTTTTATCTTCAGTATCTATCACCAGACTGTAAGCTGCCATTGTTTTTTGTGTGCTTTCCATATATAGCTGCTTAGCAGTGACCTGTCTCCCCTCCTTCAGGCTATCAACACCTCTGTATTTACAGTGGGCCTCTCATTTTCTGGCTTTCCCTTTTTTAGGGTCTGAGGTAACTCAGAATCAACACTTCCTGGCTGAGACAGTGCTTGTGTTTGACAAAACACCAACCGCTTCTCTGCCTTCCTCTTCACACCCACTCTGTGTCTCTTCTCTAGCTTTAGCTTTAGCTTTTTCTGCTAGCCAAATCGAATGCAACTTCTAGATTGTTAACAAAATCAGCTGTTCCAGGTTCTGTTTTCACCAGTGATAACAAATGTCCCTCCCTGGGACAGTTCCTTCTCTCTGCTCACACCCTCAGCTCAACAGCATCCATGCTTGAGGTCTGCGAGGAGCTCAGAGCTGTCAAAGTCCTTGGAAACCCTCTCCCTGAGATGTGTTCTCACAGCAGTCATTTCAGCTTTTTAAAATTATTACTATGCTTACAAGCATTTTAATACTCAGTAAACCAGTCTTGTGAGCTGCTACCAGCCTGAAATCTTTGCTGCTGCACTGTAACCTGTTTCCCTCTGCACAGGAGTTACTGGTAGTGTCTCTATGCTATGATTTACAAAAGTTAATTTGCACTGTCTCTGTATTTCTTGAATTAGCAACAGCTTTAAGAAGGGCAGCAGGAGTAAGTGCTGATACTTTCAGTCCCTCTGTTTTGCCCTAGAGCACACCAGCAATTAAGTTGAGAGTTTGGTTTTTTAGTGTACAGCCATGATGTTGCTGCCTCAGGTCTCTTGTCCCTCCCTTCCTCTTCCTCCCACAGCTTTATATCAGGAATATGATGCCATTCCATCTGGGGTATCCCTTGGGTTAGTTGGGGTCAGCTGTCCTCTGTCCCCTCCCAGCTCCTTGTACTGTCCTCCACAGTCAACTCGCTGGTTGGGTGGGGTGAGAGGCAGAAAAGCCCTTGACCCTGTGTAAGCACTGCTCAGAAACAACAACAACATCCCTGAATTATCTACACTGTTTCCAAGACAAATCAAAACCACAGCCCTACACCAGCTACTGTGGAGAAAATCAACTGTATCCCGGACAAAAGCAGCACAGCTGTCACAATAGGTGGACAGGAGGCATGTTGAGGAGGGCAGTACTGTTTGGAGTAAAAATTACATTTGGGTTCTGGCTGCAAGGAGGAAATCTGCTCACATTCCCTGAGGACATGGGGGACCTGCACAGACGTAGAGGAAAGAATTGGCTGGCAGCATCCCTATTTACTGGTACTGATGCGTGAGCCAGACTGGATTTCCCAATCCAAGACAGGCAGCCGGGTCTGGCAGTGAGCACAGCCCATCTTTTCCCCTCATCAGCCACAATAAATACAGAGCTCCCTGGTGCCAGCTCACAAAGGCACAGTTCTCAGAGTGCTTCACGCACTCCAGACTTAAAACCCCAGCTCTTGGAGGTTTAGTATGTTGAGTGAGGTCTGCTTGTTCCCTGGCTCTGCACCCGCTTGGCTGCGAGCATCAGCCCCAGCCTGCGGGCAGGGTGTGGAGCACAACTGTCACTTCCAGTCAGGGAAGCAGGCACAGGGTGCAGGCAGGCAGAAGGAGCGCTCCTGAAACCTTGGGAATGTGAGCAGATGTCAGGGCATGGAAAGGGGCTGAACGAACAGCAGCAGCAATAAAATCTCATCCTGCTCCTACAAGCGTCACTTTGCAGGTTTCCAGGATCGCAAGTGGATTGTACTGCACAGTTGTTCCTCATGCACAACTTTTCTCCACTCACTTCTGCTTGGGTTTGGATCCATTCACCCTTGCTGATTGCTCCCAGTGAGAAGAGGATCTGCTTTTGAGGGAGATGGGAATTGTGTTTCAGGGAGCAGGTCCTGCTTCCACCTTTGTAGTAGCTTTGGCGAAGAGGCTGGTATATAATCTCTTTGTGAATGTTTCAGGTGAATTCACTCAGTGTGAGGTGTTGCAAGCCCCAGCATTTCCAGTCTGCACAAATCCTGCCTTCTGCAGTGGGAGGAACATCTTCCCTTTGTCTCCGAAACCAGTGAGGTCCTTGGCCTGTCTGCTGGCTGTGTTTGAACCCAAGCAGGAGAAGCTTGCTTTAAAGGATCTCCTGGCATTTTGGAGCAGTGTTTGTGACACACCTGCTCAGTCAGGATACTTCTGCTGTATTAGGTGCTGAAAAACATAGGGTGGGTTTGCCCACACATTTGTGCAAACCACATGTAACTGCAAGGTTTGGACTACTATGGGTACATAAAGCAAATGCTGACAACGTGTCAGGCTCCCCCTATAACCTCTGCAGACTGGCCAGGCAGGAGAAACTCCTTAAAATAGCATTTATGGTGCAAATGGTGCCGGAAGTTCAGCAGATACCACTGTAATTACTGGTACTCGCACAAAAGAAAATAGTCTAATGGATGCTGCCTTCTCACTGAAGTGTTCAGGGAGTCACAGCTTTAAAAATCCTAAAGAGCTTTTTTAGCAGTAAAATGTCTGGGAGCCACAGAGAATTGAAAGAGAGAAGAAAATTATTTAATAAAGGGCTGTGGATTGGGGGATCTCTGGCTTTAGTGGCTGAAGGCTCCCAAAAGCTGAAGCGGTGACTAAGGCTCACAAGAAGGAAAATTGGAAATCCCTCCCAGAAAGACAATTATTTGGTTCTGCTACACTTAAAGCATCCAGCACCACTGATGGAGGAAGCTGTGTCTCCTCACTGAGGAGGAAAGAATGGGATATATTCTGTCAGTGACTCCTTTTCCCATCAGATCAGGAGCTGCTTGCTGTCACTGACCTTAGGAAGGGGCATTATTGAGCTAGAGTTGGGTTAGGACAGTTGGCTGGTGTAACTGTGGGTTAACTTCTTCCACACTGCAACAAGCAAAGTATGAAAGTACCAGGATGAAGATGCTGTTGAGGAACACACTATCCATATATGGTTTCTTTTGGAAGTTCATCTGACTAAAAGTACCAAAACTAAAGGAGGGAAGGGTGTGTGTAGCCAAAAAACTGCCCCAGGCCATTGTGTAAGCACACTTGTAATTATTGCCAAGTAGAGGCTGTGGCTCCCAAGGATGTATCACAGACACCTGCCAGTGTAAGCAGCTTTAACTGGAACCCAGAGTTCACAGTGGAGTAAGTGTCAGGAGGGAATATAAAAATGGTTGCAAGTTTCAGGCTGCTTTCCCTGGGGGTGCTCAAGCCCCTGCTACAGGAGCAGGAGTGCTGCCATGCACACACTCATCTTCAGTGGGGGCAGGTGGAGTTTTTCATCCGCTGGAATTGGTTTCATTTCCAAGAATACTTTGGATCTGGTGCTTTCAAACCTCACAAACTCCCTGGTTTTAGGGGCTAGTTCCAGACTGAGCATCTGCTTAGGAGCCTTGTGCTCACCTGCCTGCCAGCACAGCAGCTCCTTTCTCAGATGAGCGCTGCTGGAGCGGCTCATATCAGGGAAGTGTTTCTGGGCCCCAGCACTGAAGCTCTACTGCACTCAAAGGACCTGCCCAACACAATGTAGGGACCTGAAGTGGTCGGGATCTTTATGGCATCTTGTTCTGTCCCAAAGAGAACACGGCTCCTTGTAGCACAGATGAGGTCTTGGACCTCACAATAGTCCACCTGAGCCATCTCATCTGGTACACTTTCATTGCTCTTCCAAGCTCAAGACTCACCAGCTCTTGCCACAGCCATGAGATTTGGTATGTTGTGGCATTAATGAGTTTGGTGTCCTCTTGCTGCCATTCACAGGGAGCACAGACTTAGATCCTTCTGCAAAATGGCTTTTGCCTGGAGTCTGTTGACACTCTGAAACCATCCCCAGATGTGCAGGATGCCTGATTAACCGAGCATACTGTAGCAGAGATACCTCACCTGAATGAATGATGCCTGTGGTCTAACCTGAGGCCCACTGGCCATGCTGACATGGAGTTCAGGGCAGGCTGATGGTGGATGCAGTAGTGCAGCTAATGGGGTTACTGCTTCCAGGTCCTGAAGCTGCAGTTTACCTTGGAGTCTCTGTACAGCATTGCGGTGTAGGCATAAGGAAGCTGAGACGTTTATTTGGGAGTGAAAAGTCTGTTTAATTTGGGCCTGCCCTAATTGCTGGCATGAAATCCTTAATTGTGTCATTAAACTATAAAGATCATCAATATGCTTTGATCTGACAAATAAAGATGCCTTGTATTCAGGATGAGTCACAAATCTGTGAGTCAGGAGAAGCGAATGGATCAGAAATAAATGGCAATAGATGAATAGATTGGAGAGCACAGCATTTTGATGTGGCTAATCAAATTGTCTAAAAGGATTGAAGTGTGATGTAAGGCTTTGATGGGTAATCCAAGACAGAGCTTTTTAACTAATACTTTGTTTTTCCTCTTTTTGTACACAGACAACGTTTCCTGTGACTCCATCGCTTGCAACAAGCCCCACAATGGCTTTTAGTCCCTACCTGAGTCATGTTTCTCCTGGGATGGGCTTAGTTCCTGCAGAGCTTTTACCAAATACTCCTGTCCTGGTTTCTGGAAATCCTACTGTTACAGTACCGGGAGGCTCTGCTGGGCAGAAACTGATGCGTACGGATAAACTGGAGGTATTTGAACGTCTGATTCAATACTGCTGACAGGGATGGACAGGACATGTGCTCCCAGCTGTTGCTCTCTGCTGAAATGACCTGATGCAGCACAGTACAGAGTTTAACTTGCAGCTTTCCTAGCATAGGGTTGCTGCTCTCTGCCAGAGCAGACACTCTTGCAGGACCTTTTCCCAAATCCTTGGAAATTTGGGAAAACTCACTCTTCTGGTATCAGTGAGTATTAGAGCATGGTTGGGATTGGTTTTTTGTATGTGATCTGCCATGCTTAAAAAAACCTCCAAAAAAAACAAGTAGATGGTCTGCCCTTAAACTTCATTGGGTAGGAGATGTTTTGGAGGTAACAGACATTTCCCTTTTCTAGAGATGGGCTTATTGAGCTTTTACAGAAAGCTTTAAGCATTACACTGATGGGAGTGGTGAGTGTGTGGTGTTGGAAAGATGGCTCTTCCTCCCCAGTTGGCTGGACATGCTGGGACTTATTGGTGGAGGAGTTGTAAATGTCTTTCAAACCCTAAGCAGAGACTCTGCAGGAGATAAGGGCTGAGGACCTGAATTCAGAGGCCCCTGCAGGTGTAAATTATAACATGGGAAGATAGCAGAGAAGGGTGTAATTTCAAAACACATTGTTTTGTGTTATGTACTTTATCTTGCCTTGCTGACATCTCACCTTTCCCCACACTCAGTCTGATTACACATTGGTATGTGAGCTACACCACTTGCTATATTATTCAACAATTTCTCTCAGTTCCTCAGACAAGAAACCTTGCAGATCTTTTGTGAAACCTTTTTCTCTGCCTCTGATGCTTCAGTGGTCATAACTTACGAGGATCTGCGGGATCCTAGTACAACTAGTAATTTTGGCAACACCTTCAAACACATTGCTGTGTAATCAAATGTGCTGTCACGTAATGCCAGGGTCGGGGTTTTATTGTGAAGGGCAGGGAGACTCTTTATGTGAAAGAGGCACCTTATGTTTTAAGAAAAAGTACTTGCTGCAAATAGCAGTAGCATGTAACATTTAGAATTAAATGTCCTACCCAAGAGTGTGCTTCATAACAAATACATAATCCAGGTGAGACACAAATGGCCGAGTTATTAACATTTAAGCTTTAGAGGCAGGGGAGAAATCCTGAGCTACACAAGTTTTGTCACAATGACATTGATTTTCTGGGGTCACTTTCCATTCTGCACAAATTCTATACTTCACTTGCATTTGGTAATTGGCTTTATTAACGTTGTGGTTTTTTTCACCTCTTGAAGCAGTTGTGAGTAGCACCAGTTGCCCCTGTGTCTGTTGATATATGTGCTACCCCAGATGAGCATGGATTTAGAATATACACATGGTTTAATGTGGCCAACTGAACTGATATTCTGTGTTGAAAATACTGAATGAAAAGTGACTTAATGTTCTGCTCAACAATGTGACTTTCTTTTAAGGTTTGTCGAGAGTTTCAGCGTGGAAATTGCACACGTGGTGAGAATGATTGCCGCTATGCTCACCCTATAGATATTGCAATGATAGACACAAATGAAAATACTGTTACAGTTTGCATGGATTACATCAAAGGTCGATGCTCTAGGGAGAAATGCAAGTACTTTCATCCCCCTGCACACCTGCAAGCCAAAATCAAGGCAGCTCAACACCAGGTGAACCAGACAGCTGCAGCTGCAATGGTAAGTAGTGCTCTTGTCAAGCTGCATTTCCATTGCTAAGAGATTTCACGTGTTATATGTGTCATTTTTGGAAAAGTAGAGAGCTTTGTAAATGGCTGCCTTTGTAAATAGAGCTGAGAGCATGTGCAAGATCCATCTCTTCGTCCTGTCTCTGTGCTCACCACAGCATGAAACCCTCACTGCACAGTACATCTCACCAGGTAGGGACACAGCGCCCAGCCCTGTGATTTGCTGACATGACGTTGTGGTGTGACACGAATGCAAGTGCAGCAGCACCCAGCACCTTCCCTGGCTGAGTCATAGGGGTCAGTTAGGCTTCCTCAATACACAATATATCCTTTTCAGGGAGACCCTGGCCTGTTCTCTGCAAAAAGCAGATGATATCTGTTGCTTGAACTTAGTAAACTTACATCCAATACCTTTGCCAAGACTTATTGAAATTACAATCCACAATACAATGGTGACTTCTTGACCTGTTTGATGCTTTGGACCTGGTAGAGATGGTCCCACCTGAATTTTAAGTTGCATTGGGACTACTTACTTCTACAGTTCTGAACATGAGTCACGGAAGACTCACCAGGTGACTCCTAGCTGGTATAAATGTTTGCCATTCTGTTGAGTTTGGTTTAATGGGACCTGTTAATTCCAGAGATGAGAGAGCTGGGGAGGGAAGGAGGGAGGGAGAGGCCCAGGGGATCCTATCCCATGTGCATAAATTCCTGATGTGGGACATAAGGTGGAGGGAAGCTATTCCCTGTGGTGCCCAATTAAAAGATAAGAAGCAGTGGGCAAAAATTGAAAATCAGGACATTCAATTTAAACATAAGGAAAAATTTATTTACCAAAGAAAGGTCTAATACTACAACAGGATTCTCCATCCTAGTAGGTACTGACAACCTGCCCAAATGGAGTCTCAAGCAAGCCTCTGTAGTTGACCCTGCTTTGAGCAGGATGTTGATCTAGCTGACCTCTAGCAGTCCCTTCCATCTCTCCTATGAGTTCTTCAATTTTTTTTTAAATTAACATTAAAAAGGCTCTTGCCACCTCTTTGATTTAGAATTAAGGCCACTAACATTTTTCTAAATACTTTTTATTTTTTTTGAGATAGTAAAGGAGGTTGCTTTTAATTCATAATGAAATTCAATGCAGAGCCGTGGCAGTTCTAGAAATTAAACAATTGCCCTCCTTGTAGCATCAATATTACCTGGAATGTAATTTGAACAATTAATTTATACTGCAGTATTTATTTGTCCTGTGGAGTTTATTTATTAGTTTTCTTACTGTTTTTATTGTTGAAATAAGAGTCCAGGTCTGTTGAAAAATAATCTTCTGCAGTGAAACTCTTGTGTTTTTCACAATTGAATCTTTACCTTTTTACTAATTATCTAGGACATTGCTATTTAACCAAAGCCAATGCATGTTTTATTCATCCTGCTGGCTTCTCTTAAAAATGTAATTAACCCTATTTGTATGCTGTTAACTAGAACCTTTAAAATATTTATTGACGGCTTGTTGCATCGCCCCTGCTACCAAAACAGCCTGCATTATTCATTGACTTTTCAAGGTTTCATGCATTTACTGTACCTGTTGAGGTGTAAGACTTTATTAAAGGGAAGAAAGGTTCTCCATTTTCTTGGAAGGGGAAAACAGATGCTAGGCTATGGATCTACATTCTAAAACAGATTTAGAATGTCTTCAAATCTAAATTCAGCATTTCTGAGGGACTCAATCCTGCAGTTACTTTCTGTGCACAAGTAGTAGCTTCACTCACTGCTGCTTGGCTGGAGTCAGTGCAGCACTGGATGAACTGGGCAAGGCTCAGTCCCCGGTTCAGGACGGCACTTAAGCATGTGCTTGAAGCTCCCTCCTTTTCCAATGGTCCTTCCCTCTCCACGAGTGCTCTGCTGGCCTCTGCATGATGTTTAGCTGCAGCATGAGGGCTGGAGCCCAGTGCCAGTCCCTGTGCAGGTGCTAATCCCTGAGCACTCCTGCCCTGCTGTGCCAGCTGATGTGACAAAGCTCCAAAGCACATGTCCTGTGATGACATTTCTTTACTTTTAAAACTTACCGAGGCAAAATAACTGACTTGCCACTAGGCCAGGTAATTACCCAGCCACCCCATGTTGTGCATGCCTCGTCTTTTTAATATATTGTATAATGCATTCACTTTTTAATTTTTTTTCTCTTCGCCTTCCCAAATTGTTGCTCTCTCTTGACACACCTCTGCTTGCTGTTTTTGTTACTGTGCTTGATCCCCCTCCCCGGCCCATTGCCATCATGTGCTCGCTGCCTGCTAATTAAGACTCAGACAGCTGTCAGATCACTGAAGCGACCGCTCGAGGCAACCTTTGACCTGGTACTTGGACCTTTCACCTTCTCGCTTTGCACGTAACCATCTTAGTCTGCATGAATGCCTTCTGCTCTTGGTCTGTGGTGTTAGTGCCTGGGGAGACTGCCCATCCCAGCCAGAAATGTTCAGTGTGCATTCAGACATGCCAATCCTGTGCCCCACACACCATCCATTAATGTCTGAGCTTTGCCTCTTGAAGCCTGGATGTGTTTTGGAGACAGTGAATAATCTTGGGGGGTGGCAGCTCTGGCTTTTGAAGTGTTTTTTCCAAACACTGGCAGCTTTGGAGTCACAAGATGCAATGTTTCAGGGAGAATTTAGCTCATTAGGTCTGCAGTATGCTCTAAATGCCAGAGGACTGCGTGGTTGCAGGACAGATCCAGTAACTTTTCTTTGTATTCTCAACATCACAGCCTTGCCTGGCCAGTGCCATGCTGGTAACTGCCCTGCACAAAAGTGTTCTGTGTAATGAACACAACTGGGATTTAGGGGGAAGAGGTCTAGCCAGCATCTTGGGGGATCTGTGCCAGGAACTGAAACAGGTGCAGTGTGGGACTTGGCTCATGCGTTGGGTAAGCTGGGGATGTGGCTGTCCCTTCAGCTGGCTCTGTCTGTAGTTCATCCCCCATTCCCCAGTGGGACAGTGTCAGCAAAGGGACCTTGCTCTGGGTGCCTTTTGCTTCAGTCTTAAGCATGGGATCTGCTCCCCGAGCTTCTGCCTGCAAGCTGTCTTCATATATGCTGTCTTTGATTGTTTTATGACTATCAAATAGTGTTTTGGCTTTATGATGCCTCATAGTGAGGCAGAAGCCGTCCTCACAGTGCAGTCAGTCCTGGCTCCATAGAAGACAACTCCTTCCTCTTTTCCCAAAAAGTAAGGGATACAACACATTTTAAAAGAAAGAGCTCCTGTTACCCAGCTATAGTGGGGAGAGGGAAGAGTGGACACAGGAGCTGTGAGCTGTTAAGCTGATTTTGCTTCTCATTCCCAGAGATAGGGAGGAGAAGCTGATCTGCTCTCCTTCCTCTCCAAAGCCTTGTTTTTGGGTTTATGTAGTCAAGGGGCTTCCTTATCAGAGTTTTAGCAGTACAAAGCCTTGCTAGGGCCCAGCTTCTGCCAGCAGTGATGGAATGATGCTGTGATTGATGTCCAGCCTCTCACTTGCCCTGCTCACAGCTGACCCAGCACAGGCAGGACCTGCACAGTGCCTTGCTCCCCTTTTCAAGAGCCACCACTCTGAGGAGACACGGTCTGGCAGAGTGGGAGAGCCCATAACTGAACAAACCCTACGGGAGAAGCTGCTAGTACAAGTGTTCCTGCTCTGACACATCGAAAGGTTTGCAGCTGCTCATTGGAATGTTACCTCCTCTGAACCCTTCATGAGTGATAAGAGCATGTATGATCTTCAGAGGAAACTGCTCACTTTGCTTCTGCTGCTTGCCAAGGAACAGGTGCTACCTGTGCCCTCTCTCAGATCATTCTGTGTTTGTCACGCCTGGCAGCAGACACAGCCCCTCTTTGCTGAGTGCAGAAGGGTGAAAGTGTGATCTGGTCCCAGAAGATAGAGATCTGAGGGGAACTTTGAGGTGCAATTAAATAGTTTGTTGCAAAAGTTTAATCCAGTGCTTGTCTTGCAAAAAATAACGAGAAGTTTGTTAACCAGCACGTGGGAAATTCTGACTTTGGCATGCAGTGTGTTTTTATCTGTCAGTCTTGCTGAAGAATTACTTTCCATGCCATGCAGAGAAGTGGCACAAGCCTCTTTGTTCAGATGCTCATTCGAGCAGGAATGTGGCTTTCCCAGCCCAAAAATGGGAGGCTGCCTGGCATTTAATTAGTGGAAATTGTTCATTTGGATCAGTGCAGGACTATCACATGGATACTGAACTGAATTAACCCTTTCACTGGTGCGGATGACCAGATCCTGTTGCAAAGGGTGCATACGCATGTGTGCACACAAACACACAGGGGAAAAATAATGTCAGTTACTATCCAGAGCTGCTGCTGTATTTATGGTGGTCAGAGCTTGTCCAGAGGGAAAGCACGAGCAGCTGGATGAGGTAAACTCATCAAGTAAGTTCTTTGCTACAAGGGTTTAGTGTAATTCCTCTGCTGCAGTGGGGAGGCACTGGCTGCAGAATTTGGTGGTGAGAAGTCTGTTGCCTTTTGTATATTCTGCTTGTGGGATTCCTTCAGATCCAGGACGTGGTTCAAGAAAGAAATGAGCTGTGACAGTTCCTGCAGGTCCTGAGTGATACAAAAATTGTAGCCAGTGTCAACTGAGACACATTTGTTTGATCCAGTGTCCCTGCCAGTTCCCATGCAGAAGCTGTATTGGCCCAGCTTCATCATGTGCAAGGAGCTGTAGATGGACCTTTCAGTGAGTGTGCTCCTGGCCTGGGGCTCTTACCTCATCACACGGGCTGGAGAAGAGCTGAAGCCAGATCCTCCTGTCTCCTTGGGCCCTCTTACACCTTGGTATGCAAAATAAGATGGGTTGGCAACAGGAGGAGCACATCTGCATGTATCCTGTGTGAACACTACTCCAGCTGCTGGGATGGAGGGGTGACCCACAGGGCTGGGTCAAACCAGAAGCAGATCAAGATGGGTTCCTACCTCCCCTGCCCACAGAGCCCTTGTGGGAGAGCTGGACATCAGGTGGCATGGGAGCTGCTGCAGAGTGCCTGTTTCTTTAGAACACTCTGGAAATACTGCATTTATTTGTGTTTCTCCATCTGGCTGCTGTTGAGGGAGCAACAGTGAGGCTGCTATAGCTCCTTTCTTTCCCTTGTTCCCAAGGGGCTGTAGAAGGTTAGGAGGGACAATGATGCTGGAGAGGTATGGGATAATCTGATGTGTCTTGACATCCCTGGGGCCTGCTGGTGTCTGTATGCTCCCTCTGATTGCAGTGCTGGGCTTGGGAATTGTCCTGTGATGTGCTGGGACATCACAGGAAGGTCTCAAAGCCTTCAGCTGTTCTGCTTTTGGCACTACCTTTGTGGGGTTTGGGGTGGTGACAGCCTTTGGCCGGGAAGCAGGGAGTCAAAAGTCCATTATGTGCCTGGCACAATTGCTTTGCTATAATTAGTGTGTTCTTCTGAGCCAGATTTTGGAAGTGTCTGAAAAGTATTATTTAGCAATGGGGTACCATAAGGGGCATGAATTTAAGTATGAAGTTCTTCAGTCAGTGTAAAGCTGTAAAGCCTCTGTGATGTACATGAAGCTACTCCAGACTCTGTAAGCTGCAGATCCATCCCGTGCCTGAAGGAACAGTCACGTAGCCATCATTAAACAGACAAGTTGTGCATAACAGGCAGATTTAACACAGATACCAATGAAAGCTTACCTAGAAATGAAAACCTGTACATCATCCTAAAATATGGATCTTAAGTGAAAGATTTTGGTGTCTGTGCCTGAGAATATTGTCCTATCTTTGACTGCTGTCTTTTGGTAGCAGCCAGAAGAAATCTGGGAAGATTAAATCCTAATGCTGAGAGTGGAGGCCCACTAGCACAGGCAAAGGATGTGTGCATGTCTGAGGGCAGTTTGGCAAATACAATTTCTTCTCATTTTCTTTTTCAATATTAAAACCACCCAAAAGCAACCATGTGAGTAGAGATAGGATGGAGTAATGTTTTGCCTGGAAGTATGTTGCTTAACATTTCTCAGATGAGCAGTCTCCTATAGCAGATTAAAGTGAAACCTGTTTCTAGATGGCGACAAACTGTTGCAAGCTTTCACTTACATTATGTTGTGTGTTGATCTTCATAACGCTTTAAAATCTCTTTACTTGTGTCCTTTCTTCCAAGTGTTGTGTGTTTGTAGCTTTAACCCTTCATTAGCCAAACCCTCTCCATTACGTACCATTCATTTGTGACCTATTAAAATAAAAGTAGGAGTGATAACCCTGTTTTTCAGCCATTGCTTTGCTACATGATACAGACTAACAACTAGTCAGAAATGACCTGATTCTGCATGACTTCCACGTGCGTAAATCTCATTGACGTCAATGGGAGTTTTACGTGCAAAAGGACTGCGGGGCATAATTAAAAAGGACCCTTTTCTATCACAATGTGGAGAAAAAAAAGTGGTTTCTTACTTGGGTACAATGAAAAAGCTGTAAATCATTAGAAACATTCCTGTCTCTTAAGAACCTGACATACTACTTTGCTGTTGAGACATGCTTGGATGAATGATGAGTAACTCACTTAGAAAAGTTCCTGAGTTGGGTTAATGCTTTTTACCAAGTCTGATCATGAAACAGGTTTGACGGGCTGGAAGAAGCCCAGTGGTGTGATAGAATGAAAAGAAGGGATTTGTCAATGGCTTTTTCCACTGTTAATAACGAGTGAGCAGTATTTGACTGATGGAGGCCACCTTCTGTAAAGTGGGAGCTGGTCCAAATCTGCTGGTGGTGGGCTGTGCCTCTGGTGTGAGCAGTGGAGAATCAGGCCTGGTCTTGACCATGTTGCTCAGCCTCTCTACTAACAAGTGGAAATGCATTTTACTGTGAATGTAATGTTATCTGTATAATTGGCAACAGCTACAGCTTTACCATCTGGACACATGGGTTGGCTGCACAATGTGCATGCTTCCACACATGCACACATACATGTAGGCAGGTGTTGAACCAGAGGCAAGCATCCGATTTTTTTTTCATGGCATTTGTTGCTTATGTTAATTTTCTTGGGTTTAAAATAGTCATCTGCTATATTTTTGTTCTGGGGTTTTTAATGCTTGTTGCCTGCAACTGCTCTTTGTAGCATCCTGTCCAGGTGATCACCCCTCACCTTCCTTCTCCCAATGCTTTTTTCTCCCTTTGTACCCGAGTCCTGCTGAAAAGCTCCTTAGTATCCCTCCTCTTTCTGAGCTCTGCCCCTCTTCCTGGTGCATTTAGTAACTGCTTACCTAGTGAAGCTGTTGTTTCACCTCCTACTTGTACTGTGACTTAGCTGCTCTTCTCCTTCCTGCCTTGCTAAGTTGATAGTGTTGCAGGTGATTTGCAGCCAAGACCCCCTATTATTTATCGCATGCTTAACCTACATCTGGGCCCCTTTATTTACTCCACTTGTCTTTAATGACTCCCTTATCCACAGGCCCTGCCGCCTGGTGCACTTCAACCTTTACCAAAGAGGCCAGCACTTGAAAAAAACAATGGTGCCACCACAGTCTTTAACCCAAGCGTTTTCCACTACCAACAGGCTCTAGCCAACATGCAGTTGCAACAGCCTACATTCATCCCTACAGGTAAGTGTCTTCTTGCTTCCCCACCATCACATTGGCTTATTTTATGACCTCGGTGTTCAGCTAATGAGCAGTTTTTGTAAGAGTCCTTAGCAAAAGAGTATTGGTTGTAGTTTCATGTTAAAAATGGATGAAAAAGTAACATCTTTTATTTGACTTTTGTCCTTTCACCTACTACAATTTAGAGCTTTTCACATGTAAAGATTCTTCTTAGCCCTTTTTGTGTGGTTTGGGGTTTTTTTAAACAATCAAACTAAGAAAAATATCTGCATGTTTCTTGAATTCATACTTTCTGTTTTTCCTCCTTATGGTTCAACTGGTTAATCCCAAATTAATTCTTTGACTCTTGCGTAGCACTCTTTTGGACTCATGTTAAAATGTCTTACAGATCTGTATGCCTGCTCTCTTGAGGCTATAGGTACCCTGAGCTTGCATCTCACTGACCTACATATTACAGCAGCTGTGATGTTTATAGAGGGAATGGTTAGTCTTTAGTAAATACAAATTATATAATCCTCTTTAGAGGCATATATTTCCCTCTTCCTTGTCTTTTGACCAGTACAATACCTTAAGCTTTTTAAAAACAATTTAACTCCCAGCTTTTATTGTACCTTTTAGGTCTCAGTGTTAAATTGAAAGATGCAGTTCAATAATTCTTACAGGACTGGAAATATGAATGTGGCAGATGTGACTGACTTCTGACTGGCCAATTAACTGCAGCCGAATGAAAAACAAAACCTGCTTGGAGTGGAAAATATTATAAGTGGCTGAATTAGGAATATTCCAGAGTTGATAGCTCATATTTTAGTATCATTATTATCATTCAGAGCATCATAGGAAAATTAATGTGCAGTGTTTTTAATGCTTAATGCTGTATTTACTTGCCAGATGATATTTATGAAAATATACAGCATTTCTCTGGGCTGACCCCTGGAGGTGAGCACACAGTGGACCTCCACCTTGGTGCTGTTGTTCTTTGGGGTCAGGGAAAAAACTTTAGACAGCCCTGTCCTGAGAGTAAGCTTTCTCAGGTGGAGTGTGGGTCCAGGGAGCAGGGAGCTAAACCCTCTGCGTGTGTGGTTATGAGATCCCTTGGAAACACTCAGAGCTCAGCAGCTACCAAGATGTTCTTCCAGATTCTCATGTGGAGAGATGGAGTAGTAGCCTCTTACCTTGTGTTCTGCAAAGCATTGGAGGGGCTGGGCTGGGCTGAGCTGACCTCAGAGCTGTGGTAACAGCTCTGACAGATGCCAAGTGAAGTACTTCTGCAGGAAACATGGACACCTTAGAGAATGCCAAGTCCCCCAGCTGGCTGCACACTCCTCTTCCTCAAGGTCGCAGTTGCCAAAGTTGACATAAGGACACGCATTTCTGATGGAGCACCATAAATCAGCTGTGCCCAGCACTCGCTGTGCTGCGGTGCTGGTTGCATGGCAATGAAATTACACGCAGGGCTGATGCATAACAGGGCTGCTTACTGGCACCTGCTCTCGTCTGAAGACATTAATACTGGGCAGAGCAGCAGATTTCCAGTCAGAGGACAGATCTGTGATGAATTTATATTACACATCAGACTCCAGATCTGGGCTCAGCCTTGGCAGTGCTCAGGACAGCAAAGCAGAGAGGTGGCACGTCGCAGCTCTCACTGTGGGGAGGGGAAGAGAGCTGTTGCTTTTCTTAGTATCTCCTGTTCAGTTGTTGAGAGATCAGCGTCGTTGGTTGCCATGGCAGGGGGGAGTCAGGCTGTCTCTTGAAAATGGCATCACCACTGCAATTTTTTCAAGTCCAGAAAAATAAATGTCTCTTTCAACTTAAACTGGAGACTTTGAATCACAGCCCCTGCTTGTGGGAGTAAATTGCTTTTGGAAAGTCAATTTTAACATGAGTGTGACATTCTTCTAAGGGCAATTTGTATTCTGTTGACATGATAAGAAAGAAATCAGCATACCCAATACCTAAAACATCCCAAACAATCCTGATTTCTGGGATCAGTCATATTGTTTAATACTGAGGTGGGAGGAGTTTATTCTCTACTACCCAAGAATTAAAGAATTAATTTGGTTTGCTATGGTCTCTTAAAACGGAGTTTAAACTATTGATGTACCAATATACAGAATCGGGTTGCATGTGCTTAAATACTGAATGCTGCGAAGAGAATACCTGCTTTTTAAAGTGATATCTAACACTGAAGCTTCACTAATGAAATATCCCTTTTGTTCATCTTTCCACGCTTCAATGCATGGTGTGCAGGGTCAGTTCTGTGCATGACACCCACTGCAAGCGTTGGTAGGTTTTTCTACACAAACTTCTCAACTTTTCCTAATCTGAAAGAGACTGCAAGTTAGTATGCATCAGTGAGAACCTGGGTGGCTGAGTGGTGTGACTGTCTATCCGCTGTCTTCTTTGAGGCTTAAATGGTTGTATCCCTTTTAATTTCTGTGCAGTGCAGTGTTTCATGTGACTTACAATAAGAGAATCCAAGGTGATGTGTTCCCACCCCTATTTAGTTCCACTTCAGAGACAAGAATCTGTCACTTAAATGTCTTTACAACCCATTTAAGTCATCTGACACAGGGAAATAGAAGTGGGAGGATCCTGTTGGCTTATTTTTGGTTTATTTTGTATCAAGGAATAGGCAGACTTAAGCGTGGATTTTCAGTTGTCCTTCTGAGGATATTTTAGGAGACTGGTTTAATTAAGTGCTGAGGAGGAGCATGTCTGGGGGCAGCCCCTCTGCCAGAGCAGGGTGCTGCTTGTATAGTTTGGACCATGGACTGGCTGGAGAGTCATCTCTGTAGGGCAGTGTTAGGTGTGCAGGTACAGGGGGTCATAGGAGGTACCACTGCAGGTGCATGTGGGATGCAGGGAGGCACAGTGAGTACGTGCTCATTAGTGTTGCAGGGATCCACTCTGTTCAGGCTCAGCATCTGGGTCTTGATGAAACCTCTGCAGGCCTTTGAGGACTTTCCCCTCTGTCTACAGCTGCTGGGCACAGCAGAGCAGGTGAAAGCTGAGCTTTCATCCTCTAGCCAAGGTTATGCAAGACTACCAGCATCCAGGTGTGTGCGGGCTTTAGCCAGAGGGAGAGAGGCAGGAGCCCTGGAGGGGGCTGTGCAAGGCTTTCCAAGAGCAGGTGTGGAAGCTCTAACATGAATGGCTAAACACTGCTCTTGAACCTGCCTATCCCTATAGTACACGGAGGACACATTGCTTGCATGACAGAGAGCTGAGTCCCTCAAATACACTTCTGCCTGTAGGAAACCCAACCCACAGGTTCCAACATCTCGTGGCCGGAGCGTGCCCAGCCACAGGCACACGCTCCTTCCCTGCTGGGGCTGGCCGTGGCTGCTAGGGTGGAGGGGAAGGCAAGTCAGCTTCCCCACTGCATGTTTTTGGGGATGGCTGGGCCTTCCTGTGGGCTCCCCAGCCCCACAAAACTCGCCCCCGGGTTTGGGGGATGCTCGTGTGTGCACCGGAGCATCCCTTCCAGCACTGTGCTCTGCGGGACGTGCAGCTTCAGGAGGCTGCCAAGCTCCCTGCTGCCGTGTTGTCCTTTTGGATGCTCTTCCTGCAAATTGTAGCTGTTCAGATGCCTTTGTGTATTTTTCCCCTCTCTGTCCCTTCCCCTCTCCATCCCCCCACCCCTCACCCTGCAAGAGGAGAGTTTTGCCAAATCCTATAGAATTAGGGTGGAAAGGGAGCATGCTGAATTTGTACGGAGAGAGCTCAGTCCGCCAGCCGCTCGTTTGCCGTGCCTCCAGCTCTGTCCCGTGCCGAAACATTGTCCCTGCTAGAGAGAGGCGAGAAAACCTGGTGAAAGGGCTGCGGCAGCCGCTGCAAAGTGCATCATGTACCTCTGGTTGCTGGCGGGGATGGGATGGGGAGGGAAGGGGACAAGCTTTCCCAGGCGGGCGGGAGGGTGCGCTTGCCAAAATGTCCCCACCCAAAGGAACGTGCACTGGCTGTGTCTAACTCCCCACGGGTGCGAGCTGACGTGGGCTTTTGCTAGCACACCCATCCTCTCCCCCCTTTGGAAATTTGGCCCTCGGAGTCTAATACATCATTGTTCTGCTTATAAATGTACTAAGTGTTGAGAATGTTTTGGTTTTTTCCTTAATTATAATTGTAATTGGCTTTTCCCCTTCTCTCTTGTTTATTTTTTTTCCCAACGCTGTCTTGCTTTGCACTGTGATTGCATGCTGCGCCCCGATGTGTCCTTCATGACGATGTCACATGGCTTGTTGCTGTGATTCCTGCCACGCCCCCAAATCCACCGCCATGTTGCCATGGTTACATAAAACCAACCAAACAAACAAAATATATATACGCTCCACCCTCCTGTATGTCGCTTCCATGGTTCCCTTCCGAAAGTGCCCATGATGCACGGTGCTACGCCCACCACTGTGTCTGCAGCAACAACTCCTGCCACCAGCGTCCCCTTCGCTGCAACAGCTACCGCCAATCAGGTTTGGCCCTTTCAATGGCTTTCTTTCACGTGTTCAGATCTTGAGGACCGGGCGAGGGCTGGATCCCGTGCGGGGTCGAGCGCTGTCCCGCCCGGCTCGGCGCAGGCTGGGGCGCGCAGAGGCAGCGTGTGCGTGTGGCCGGGGATCCGAGAGGGGCCGCTCCTGCCGCCTGCGGGACGGGCACAAGCCCGGCCGGAGCGTAGGGATGGGCGATTGGCAGGGGCACAGGCTCTCTTCCAAAAACACACCTCCCCCCGGGTCCTCAGAAAACACGCTGTGAATCTCCCGAGCGTACAGTCACGCGAGACCTGCAGCACTTCTGCTTTCCGTCTCTAGCAGAAATACCACCCCGAGCATCCTTCCCTGTGGTATTTTGGCATGTCCTCTCTGGGCTGGAAAGTGGAAGTGGAAACACAAAGTGGCCTCCTCCCACCACAGAATTGGACTCTAAAAACTACCAAAAAATCCCCAAACAACCGAAACCCAAAAATTGGGGGTGAGGCTGTGAAGTGTAAAGTTTTTTTTACGCCAATAGCATGTCACCCATCCCTACAGAAAGGACTCTGGATGTGCAGTACGTGCCATTGTAGCACTGCCATAAGTGTACAGGATTCCATGCATGTCTGCCGAGCCATAATTCTCTCCAGAACTTTCCTCTGAAGATACTGAGTGTGATGGCTGCTTCTGCACCAGTCCTGAACTGTATATGCACAACCTGTCCTAGTGATGCTTCCTGGTAATTTGGTGTGACACAACTTCTCCCAGTTAGACCAGAGACATTTCAAACACTTTTCAAAAATTTTTCCCCCCAGGACTAATTTTAGCATTTTTATTTGTCATGCTCTCAGGTTTAGAGCTATTGCAAAGAAATCGGGGTGTCACTTTGCTCTGTAGGAGGCTGTTAGCCATCCTGAGTGGCAGTAATTGCTCTGGGGGCATCCTCTAGTCTTTTGTTGGTGTGAGGTCATGTGGATTTCAGGAGTTTTGCCTGCGTAAGTCCTAGGCAGTGTTTTACTGCTCGCAGTAGGAATTGCCGGTCTTTTCATGTGCTTTGTTGTTACTTTCAGGTAGAGCAGGTCTTACTCAGACTTGTGTTGGTCATGAGAGGAAAGTAGAAATTCCTGTGCAGCGTTGCTCTGTGGCTGTGTGAGTCCTGTTTCAGCCAGATAGTTTCAGGGCATTTCTGTTTTACTTGTAGTCTATGGAGTCATAATCCCAGAACAATCACCAGGTACTCCACAAGACATCAGTAGTGGTGCAGCTACATTGTACTTAATGTGTAGCAAAATAAAGACTTGGGAGTGGATCCTGTTTTATAAGACACTGATGTACATATTAACCTGATACTGAAGACAGAATGAACAGCCCTATCTCAAGGCGATGTTTTAATGTTTTGTGTTCTTTGTTTTTTTTTGCTGTAGATATCCCAGTTATCAGTAGATGAACTGAGTAGCAGCATGTTTGTTTCACAGATGTAGAAGTTCCCGATAGAACAGTAAGTTCCTTTTTGGTATTTCTCTTTATGGTGAATTGATTTGTATGTGGGCACTGCATCCCCTAAACACAGGGCTGGCTCAGGCAGAGGGACTGAGCCCACGGGACCCCCATTGGCTCCATGCTCTGCCGACTCCACAGGAATTCAGCAGCTGCAGCACAGACACAGACTAGCCCTGTGGTTTAGAAGGAGTTTCCTGTGTCTCGAGTACCTGTGTTGTGGTGTTCGCAGCCTCCCTGCTCATCCCCCCAGTCCCATGGCTCTGTGTGCAGGTTGCTCTTGCTCTGCACAACTCCCAGCTGCCTGCAGATGCCTCAGGGATTTGCAGTGTTGATGGCAAAGACTGCTCTGGTAATGAGTCAGCTGAAAAGGTGTAACTTCTCTTTTGCTGTTAGTGGCATATTTCCTTTCCTGGGGTAAGCAGGATTGGGTCAGCAGCAGCTGCTGTGCATCTGCAAGGCTGGCTTGGTCTGAGCAGAGCCCTGCTGTCAGCTGCAGAGAAGGCCTGGCTCATGGTGGGTTGAAGACCAGAATGAATGTCATAAGCAACATAGTCTTCACCCTACCTCCAGATCCTGGGCTTCCCTAAGATGATAGTTTCCTCTGAGGGGAATAATGAAGGAATTTGTCCTTGGACTTACAGAGTACTATTTCACAGCCATGACAGCAGCACCATTTTTCCACTGCTTTTCTTTGTGAGTTTTAGCTGATGTTCATGAGCTAAAATCTCTGTGTAGTTTCAGTTCTTGACTGTGTTTTTTTATCCCAAGAGAGTAAAGAGCAGTTCAGCCAATTCAACAAGAGGTCACTGGATTTTCTCAAAGCAGCCGTTTAGTACATGCAGATATGCAACTTATAATTTCTTGAATTATAAAACTTGAATTTCTTCCTTAGGTCACATATTACAATCAAGTCCTTAAATACTGGAAATTAATTTGGCAAGCAATTCTGTAATGATATCTATTAACAATCAACAGAAGCTACTTCCTCAGTGGTGGCCCTTATCTCTGCTGACCTTAATTAAACACCATATGTATACATGACCTGCTAACTGTGGCTGTGGACGCTGTTCATGAGGGGTGACACCAAGCTTACCCACATTAGTGAAAATGTTCAGCTTAGATTGTACTGCTGTTGCAAATGACAGATAGATGTGACACCTGACATGTTAACCCATTTCCATAACATGTGTAAACCAGCCTGTTCCACCCAATAAGGAGATCATTTGACTGGAGGAGCTTCATCTTGAAGTCTTTGAGATTGTTTTCAGCATTTTTTCAGGAGACTTTCCCTGAGTGGGACTTTGGTAACTGAAACACTCACTGCTCTGACACTTGTTTGTCTTTTCCTCCATGGCTGAAGTAGCCCTGGTAGCCAGGCTGGTTGGTCTAGGTCTGCAGGACATAACTTGTTGGGTCCTTCAGTGGAGGATTTTCATGAGTACATCACAAAGAGGCAGTTTGCTCCCAGAAGAGGGTCCTCTGAGCACAAGGATTTCTGAATCTGTGTTTTATGTCTGGGCTCAGTTTGCCTTTGGCTTGTGACTTAGGACTAGATTTAATGTGTCTGAAGAAAACAAGAGCTAACAGATCAGAGATTCCTTTGGCCCTCTCCTTAGTCACCCTTTACTTGACATCCCATCCAAAAATCAAGACTATTATTTGTCCACCTCCCTCTTTCATTATTTGTCCTGTCATTGTGGGTGAAGTGCATAGGAAAGAGAGTCCTAAGTGCAGATTTAAGAGAATGCCAAGTCTGTTATTGGCAGTTTCTCCCTACATCAGAGAATTAATGGGATAAAATATCTGTCTGCAACGCTCTAATGACAACCTCTTGGGCAACATACTGAGAATGTAAATGTAGTAGAATGACTTTTAAAATATAGATGTATTAACTTCTCACTATTTCTTTGTTGTTGTTATTTTCTTTCCCCTACAACAGACCATGTTGAAATTCTGAACAGTAAAATTATGGAGCACCAGGACTTCTTGGTGGGAAGCTGCGCATGGCCTTTCTGTATATATTCCCCTCTTCCCTCTATCATTCTCTACCACCTCTACAGTAAGCCTGTTGCAGCCTACATGTTAACCAAAAACTGATCAATGGGAATGTCAAAAAAAAAAAAAAAAGAAAAAAAAAAGCACTATAGAAACAATTAACAAACAGCGCTCTGTTATATGAGATATACAAGTAGGAAATTATAATAGACTTTTATAACACATTACTTTAACACACTTAATCATTTTATGACTACCATCATGATAAGTGCATCTGCACAGCGGACTGTTGGTTTACTGTATACTATCGATGGATAAATGTTTGTCTTGTTTTTAAAGTGTTATCTTACTGTTTTGTTTACATCATAGTCTATTGATTTGTTTTAAAGTGTACATCATTATCAAGTATACTCAATACCATTTTTTCATTATTGTTATGTCTTAAGTTTTCATATACTGTAGGTTTTATGGGGTTTTGTTTGTTTTTTACTAAAAATGTTATTGTGGGAAACAGGAATTATGTGCTTGAAAAACACGACACAGAATGTTCTGCCCTTTGCTGGATTTTGCTGTTAATGTCAGCTAAAGTTGCTTATGTTAAATGCTCCTTTTATCATTTAAAACTTGCCTTCAGATAGTCTCCAAATTTTTAGTACGAGTGATGTGAAAAGACAGCTATCATTTTAGTCCAGTTCAGGGTTCTTCTTTCAATACAATGAGCTGATTCTGGAAACTTTAGGAGAAAAAAACCCCACAAAAGCCCAGGCTCAGTAAGGGGACAGGAACAATTTGCTCAGACAGGGGTAAGCATTAAAGGATTTCTGCAGCTCTGTTGTCCATTGAAGTGCATTCTCAGCTGCAAACGGCGCACAATCTCTCTCGCTGTTCTCATGGTGCAGTCAAAACAAACAACAAAAAATGGTGGTGGAGTGAGACAGCTTCAGTTGGGCAAAAGCTCATTGCATTGGAGAGGAGCAGGTGCCAGCCGTTGGCTGGGGAGGGCCTGGGGCCGTGGCTCAGCCCAGGCTGGGTAACACCGAGCCCTGGGGTTTGTCTCCACCAAGCATGCTGAAACATTTTGGCCTGAAATCTTATATGTGTCTCTTGTTGAAATTTTGTCAGCATGCCCCATTTATTTAATCACCATTTTCCATAAGTGGGTGATTCCCCCACACCCTCCGTGATCTGTGGCCCTTTAAAGCAAACACAGCAGTAACAAAGCAGCAAAAAGCTCAGCATAAGCTTTCTGCTGTAGATAAACATTCGTCTTAATGAAGTTCCTGTCGGTCAGTGGATTTATTTTGGCACCTTCTGCTTGATCAAGAGCAATGTTTGCTGCACAACAAGGGCTAGTTCTCAATACCTCCTTTTCATACGCACGAATAAAACCATTTCAGCCCGTGCACCCTGGACAGCCCCGCTGTCGTTATGCTGCGTTGCTGAACAATCTGGCTGCAGAAATGCATTTTGGTTGAGGACACCGCCAAATTCATCCCTGTCATAGCTCTGCAGTATCATTGACATTATGGAAGAGCAAATCCATATTTGCTGCTGTAAATCCACAAACTCCATACAAGGAGAAAGAGAATCAAGCAAGAGGCCAGCTCAGTGTCTGGAGGGGTGACCACCCTGAGCTCAGAGTGGTCCTGTAGAGTGCCAAATTCAGACAACCAGATTTTCTTCTCTTTTCCCAGTTCCTTGGCCTTGGTTAGATTTTCCTTGCCCCTTCTCCTGCAGTATGAGCACAGGCAGTTTGCTAGATGTGTGTCTCCATGGGCCACAAGTGATGGAGGCATGCCTAGGGCGCAGCCTGTGCGCCCCAGGGCAGGCTCTGACCCTCTGCCCGTGGAGACTCACTCATAGCGTAAACCTTTGAGGAGCCCAGCTCAAGAAAGCCTTGAGGAGTCTTTTTGTTCACTTCAGCAGACTTTGAACCTAACTCTGATAGAAAGGGGGAAAAAAACCCCATGTCCCCCTGCTAAGACCTCCTTTATGGACCCTGAGTTTTGACAGTCGCTTGTGTCCGTGGATGTTCCCCAGCCATCTGTGCTCACAAGCGGCAGGGTGGCTTGAAATCAGTGACTCTCATTTGTATTGGCGACCACATACCTGTTCTTTTCACCACTGTGTTTCTGTTTCCCAAAACCATAACATTGTTAGTGGAAAAAGTGGATTTGAGTACTTCCTGTTTGAAATTATTTGTGTATCAAAAATGGGTTTTGCACAACCTGTGCCAGTGCCTCAACAAAGAACAGAGCTGATCTTCTTAAGCCAGAAAGGATGCATTCAAGCTTGTATGGCTTTATGAGTTCAAGGAGGTTGAAATTTTTTCAGTGCTAAATGGATTTTTGTATATCTTGAAACTTTGATGTAACCTCCTATTTTATTTATCGACTTAAACATCTGGCATAGATGTGCATAGAATGTAAACCTAGAATACAGCTGTTTTCATGTCACATTTAAAGCACTGAAAAAAAAAAAAGGCATTTAAGGATTATTTTTTATTAAAGAGGTCCAATGAGGGATGTTCAGGGTAGTTATATTAGGTGCCACAACAGTTTTTATATTGCTGGCAAATTTAGAGTTAATTTGTAAATGAGTTTAAGGAAAGAAAAGCTTGAAGCACTAAACTTCACCAAATTCAAAACAATCTCGGCAAAAATGCCATTTTGAGGTAGCACTATTTAAACTAGTTGTGCAATGACTTGCTCTAATTTTCTTTGTTCAAGAAAGAAAAGAAAAAAAAATCAGTCGCCAGACTATAAATTTCCTAAATAGACTATTACAAAGTCACCGAGCTAGTTAGTGACTCTAAACAAATGTCATAAAAGCATGAATATCATCCTTTATTTGACAAGAGATGTATGTAAGTTTGTTTAAATCGATATAATTTTAGTGACATTTTTATAAGGTTCCCACTTTCCATGAACCTATATTTTTTATTTATCCAAAGTTATTTCTCTTTGTCCATTTCTCTCAGCCTTATGCAAACAATATGCAAGAAATGCTGAAACTTGGATAAAACGGGTCATGCAGAGGGAAAATGAAAGCTGAGATTGATCATTTTCACGAAAAAAGGTTGTTAGTAGTTTCAATAAAAAGTACTACTACTAAACTGTAACATAAGCAGACAATAAAAGAGGGATTTAAAATAAAATGGATTCATAAAACTATTAAGATTATTTTTGTTAAATACAGTGTTTTTAGTAATTTGGAACATGATTTCACAATCAGCCGTGTTTTTTAGTTGGAAATTTTTAGCTGATGATTTTTGACTGTGTATTTTTGCATCGCAACGTTCTAGAAGCCGTTACCTCCCCGGGCAGCCCGCGCCGGCCCCGTTCCCGAGCGCTCCGACGCGCTTCTCCTCCCGGCCGCCTCTCCTCGCTGCCCCGCTCCGCGCTGGGCGCAGTCCCCGCCGGAGCGGGCTCCGTGTCCCCGCCGAGGGGCCGG